CAAATCTCCCCTATCTACGTTTACTAAGAAACGATTTCATCATAAAAGCGTTCAGGAAATCCTATTTCAAGGAAAATCTGCGAAATATGATGTAACTAACAATACTATGTCATCAGCCCATGTTCAAAATGACCAACTTTCTTGATGATTTGTAGCTTTCTTGGTATTTCCGGTTCGATAAGACAAAATTTGTGTAATGACGTAAAATGTAATGACGTTTAAAAATGTAACTAAAATTTTACATTTTCAATTTCATTTTTGCGTACATTCACAAAAGTACCGTAATATTAAATGATTTGTCACACCAATCCCCTTCTCTTTTTTCGTTTCTTAAGGTGTTGGTTTTATTTTTACAATTATCGTTAATCAATCGTGTATTTGTAATCTATTTGTCCTAATGTTTTAATATTATATATTTTTTGTATCAGACAGCTGATGATGATGGCTAAACCATCGAAAGCTTATATTTTAATAAATTATATTGTTGGAAATGACTTCGATAATTATTTCAGTCTATCTAGTAGCTTGGACAGATGGATGTTGCCAAACTGAGATGGTTTTTACTTTTCCAGTAATACATTTACTCAATGGAGGAAATACAAATATCCATGTAATATTTATTGGCACTGATGAATCTATGACGTACATCATAAATTGAATATGGCAATTTACTTAAATATTAAATAAAAATGCTTTGAATTTCGATATAAAATAACATTTATTCACAACAATAAAAAAAAACTTCGGCACAATATTGATTGCGAACTGAAAAGAACAATTCAACATTTAATCTATTTAACAAAGTTAAAGTACAGTACCTAGGTTTACCACTTCACCTTTCAAATAACCAAAAGTCCTTTCTCTGTGTCCAATTCTTTTTTTTTTTATGTACGCTTCAATATCGACACACTCAAAAATTCTAGTCCATTGACTATTCTTAATTTCTCCTCAATCAAATTTCCCGCCAATATCACATTTCTTTTCTTACAACTAAGTTCTTCACTGACTTACGTCCCTCTGTCAATTATTTCCACGCTCATTCCTTTTTTCTTCCTGGTTGACTGCGTCCGTCATGCCACATCGGAGTAAGAAGTCGACCGGGGCATGGAAAACATTGCCTCCCGGGTTTTTTATCCGAGTGTGCCGTGTATACACTCATCATACGTATCTCAATGCCAAACATGAATGAATTATTACATCCAATCCAGGCTCGTTACAATACCAACAAAATTGAGTTCGTTTCATCGCCATTATTATCAACACATTCCAGGTAATGTCTGACTTCTCTTCTGCCGGCGGATTTTGTTCTTATCTGCGGACAAAAATAGCCTCTTCCACAGGGGGGATGCGTGTGATGTGTGTTTAGGAGCGTGTCAGATCGAGGACGTGATTAGTGGTAGTTCATTGGTGTTAAAGTTTCTGAGGCACAAATGCTTGTGGATTTTAACGTTGGAAGAGGTATGCAAATTGTATATTTATGATAACAAACTCCTTCGTGTGAAGGATTTCGTTATCATAAATACACAATCTTAATATACAAACGCTCTTTTTTGGTTTATTTAGAAGTTATTAAAATTGTTGTTTTCTTTAGAATTGACGTTCATCTTGCGACTACTCAGTAAAATAATGTGCCGCTCCGCTCCCTCCCTGCCCCAGCCCCCAGGCCCTGATTTTGTCCCACAACGCCTCTCCCCGCCCCCCTCCCCTTCACCGCTCAGAACTTGGGCGAATCTGAGTCGATCTTGCAATTTGGCACTTCAATAAAGAAATTCTTTTCTTTTAAAGTTTACAAGTCATTTCTAGTTACGTGGCGTCAGTATTGTAATTATGGTGAAGGTCTTGATATTTTTCATTGTCTACTATGTTGTATACGTTCTTCATAGCCTTTTCAACTTTTTTCCTTTTCTTCTTCCTCTTCTTCTTCTTCTTCTTCTTCTTCTTCTTCTTCTGTTTCGTCTTCGTCTCTTTTAAATTGTCCTCCATACTTTGTGTCTTGTTTTTTTCTCGCCTCGGACCCTGTTGAAAGTTTGTCTTCAGGCATAGTATGTTTCCATTTTACATACACCTCGTTTTTAAATGTATCTGTTCCATGATTTTTCCTTTTTGCACTATTTCTTTTCATATCTTTTTTAATCTGTTATTCAAATATTATTACTTATAATTTTGAGAATCTTCATTGACAGATTTTGTCATTCTGTGTATAAAGATGTTCGGAGAATGTCAATCTTTTTTTTTTTAAAGAGTTTCCAATATTTTGTCTACCAATAAATTCCCTCGGTACTTACATAATTCGTACAGATCTCTAGTTAGTTCTTCGGCACTGCGCTTTTCTAACTGTTTTTCGTTCTAAACTTATAGTGTATACAATCTATAATAATAATAATAATAATAATAATAATAATAATAATAATTAAGTAGTATAATATAAACATTATTATTATCATTATTATTATTATTATTATTATTCTACTAATTCACGACTAAAGATGTTACAATTCTGTTGAATATTAAATGTTCACCAGCCTATTATTATTATTATTATTATTATTATTATTATTATTATTATTATTGTTGTTGTTGTTATTGT